CTTGCATTGCACCATCACCGTTCATTATAACACTAAAATCTATATAAAATAAAAATATTTTAGTGAAACTTCAGGCATGATTTATAAAAAATGCAGAAAGACTTAAAATAATAATAGTATCCATGCGATTTACCTAAATTGAGAATTTAGAATGAATCAACATCTCTAGCACCACATACCTTCCTTGGACAAAACGCCAACAAAGCCTCACAGCTGATGTCGCAAACCAATTTCTTTGATTTTACAATTCAACCAAATTGCTAGTACATGTGTAACGGCCGTACCATTTTAGTATTCTTTAAGCTAAAAGAAACTTCACTAATTCTTGAATAGAAAGTAGTTTTACCAACAAATCATGATTTAGGCTTTGTGATATACTTAGTGAGCTTATATATATAAGGGGAATACAAAAGGATGCAAAAAAAATTATACATTAAACAGTATTTGGAGTTATTGACATATATAATCACCAAATTAAAGGATATAGCAACGAAACCGAAGATAAAGGGAGGGGTAAAGCTTGAAAGAGAACATAAATAGACATTAAGTATCCAATAAAGACACAATTATGGGGAGGAAAAAATTTAAGTAATTGTACTTAAAGACAGTTTTTTAGCTATTAAAAATAATATTAATAGAAAAATAAGGGTGGGAAGTCAAAAAAGCAGAAAAAAGATAAATGAGTTCTTTAGCTAAAGAGAAGTGTACCTCTTTTATATATGTATATAGATCCAAACGGTTCACGAAAAGAAAACATCGGTTTCTTATGTCGATTGGTTCATTCTTACAAAAACACAAGATAAACTCCTATTTCATCTCTCTATTCAACCTTCCAATTGATTTCCATTAACAGTTATATTTATGCGTCTCTTTTTCTCTTTATCCAATATCCAATGAGAAGAAGTTTCAACGGTCTGCAGCATAATTAAACTCTCATGTTGTTTCTTCTTCATCGACCAAGATTTTCACATTGGCATCGAGCCACCGATTAAGAATTTTCAGATAATTAACCATTTTTCTACCCAGACCCTTTATTTCACACTTGGAACAAGCTTTATTACGGGAGTATTTCATTGTGTTGATTTGATGAAATCTAGACAGGAAAGGAAGTGGTTAGCGGGCTGAGAGGACTTCCGCCGGTCGGAATGCACGGAATGGCCGAAGTGTTTTTTCGGTAAAGTTGCCGGCGACGATTTCAATTCTTATTCTTTTGTAGAAGTAAGCTTCCTCATTCTCCTTCAATATCCACTGATCTTGGTGATTTTGTTTTAATTTTTCGTAGGCTTCTTCTATTTGACATGCAATTCTTTCTTACTTAATCGCAATTTAATTATTTATAATGAATTATATTATTGACGAGGCAATGGATTCTGTGTAGAGAAGTTCATTAGAAAAGATGAAGTTATGCAATTTAGTTCGTAAATCAACTTTCAAATTCTTTTTAGATCATCTGTTAAGATGAGGCCTTATTTGGTCCGTGTATTGGTCTAAATTTGGACGGCTTCATATGCAAACAAACATGGTCGAGGGCAGAGTTGACCACAATACAATGGGGAGGAGTCATCTCAAGAAGAATTACTGTCGAGGTCAAGTAAATGGAGCAAGGAGGCTGGGTAGGATAGTTTAACAATAGACACAAGAAATATTTCATTGAATAGTACTTATGTTGTACTTTTTAGGATTTCTTAGAGATACGTCTTATAAATAGGAAGAGATAAAGAACAAAAGGGGATCTTCACTTCTTGATAAGAGTACTTTGTAAAGAGTTGACTAAAAAGAATATACAAATACTGTCTTGTTCACTGACTACTTTGGTCAACATACGTTATTCATTCTTTGTTTGCTAGATCCCAAGGTTCCTTATCCATCTTCACTTTCCATCATTCCACGTTGCTGTCGTAAGAAAGAATCACCCAAGTTATCTAACATTTGGATGACAAATTCCTTCTTATTACATTTGTTGTTATTATCTACATTTATTGCATGTTCATGTTATAATATTTATTGATAACCATCAAGTACACACTCGACATTTAATATTCTCAAACGTTGTTCATCCCGCTAATACCCTCCAATATTATATCTAGAATTTATTATATTTAACTAAGATTCACCCTCTATTTCATCATTAATTAGTTTAATTAGTATTTTTTGGTCAAACAATTTGGCGCCGTCTGTGAGGAGATTCTAGTTAAATTTTTTAGTTTCTTCTAAATCATAAGAAAAAAATAGCCATATTATTCTCGTTTGTACGAACTAACAATGGAAGGAAAATGAGATGAAAGACAGAAAGCAGTAGTGGGCGTCACTACCAACCTCTTGAACACTATCAACGAAGATGATAGGCAAAGCAAGGAAAACGCGACGCCGAGTGCTACACCCAAGCAAAGTGACTCACCCCCCTTTATAGAAGCGTGACCGCTTCACGCGAAAGGGGGGCTTTGACATCCACAACTGAGGAAGTGCCGCCAGCAATAAAAAAACTACTGGAGGCGTCAACACAAACAGATAAACCCGTTCAACGGGCGAATGAAGACGTGACACAAATGGACACCACAACAACCGTCAATGAGCAACCCGCTCTCCCATCAGGTAACACTCACACCGCTTTTGATGTAGGTAACGACGTGCTTGCTGCCATACTAAAGAAAATAGAAGAAATGGAGAACGAGAATAAAGTGCTCCGCGACCAGATGAGGGAGAATCAAGAAAGGGTTGATAAGATACCAGGCGCCCCGAAATTGCTACCAAAATAGGACATCGGCCGATTTGTCGAATAACCATATAGCGAGGAGGAAGCCCCACATGTCATACCTAAAACCTTAAAGATGCCACCATATTTGAAGATATATGACGGCACGACAGATCCCGAAGATCACATCATTCATTATATCACGGCAGTAAAGGGTAACGACCTCTCAAAAGAGCAAGTACCATCAGTGTTCCTAAAGAAGTTCGGCAAGACCCTAGCGGGGGGAGACTTAACATGGTACTCACAATTACCGACACGATCAATAACTACGTTCAAAGAAATAGCCGACAAGTTCGTAACCGCCCACGTCGCGGCTAAGAAGGTGGAAGCCAGGGTGAATGATATATTCGCCATTAGGTAATCGCCTGGCGAGGGACTCAGGGACTTCCTCGCTCAGTTTAACAGAGTAAGAATGAGCTTACCAAATGTATCGGAAGGGATGGCGGTGGTAGATTTCCAAAATGGGTTGAACGAGAATGGGTCGAGAGTGACCAGAAAGTTATTAAGCAGGCTCATGAAATACCCCCTCCCCCCACCACTTGGGAAGAAATTCACAACGCCTACTGCACCGAAGTGAGAGAAGACGAGGATCACCTTAACGGTCTGACAACAGCTAACATCGGCCCAAACAGAGCCGAGGAAAGACGGTCGTAATGATGATCGAAGAGATAAGTCAGGTCCACGCCTCAACCAAGACAAGCATCAAACCTATGTCAGAACAACCATCCCACCATCTTCTCGCCATGCAGAAGGACCGTCCAAGCCGCATACAGGGATTCAGCGTAACAAAAGAGGTATGCCTCCACTTTTATTTGCTCACAGTTTTTGTGTTTTCCCTTCAGAAATAGAGTACGCACTAGAGAAGCTCGTCTTGAAGGTGAATTGGCCACAAAAGATGAAGTTCGACCCAAATACCCAAAATTCGAACGTTCTCTGTGAATTCCATCAGGAATGGGGTCACAAAACTGAGGACTGTATAGCCCTACGGCAAGAAGTAGTGGACATGCTCCACCAAGGGCATCTAAGGGAGCTAATGAGAGACCGAGGAAGAGCCAACTTCGGCCGTAGACGAGAACAACACCAAGGCTCTCCAAATCCACCCTCCCCCACTCGCACCATCCAAATGATCATCGACGGGGGCGAGGAGGTAGAAATCAACCATGTGAAATTTACCACCACACATAAACTGAAGCGATCGATCACCCACGAGTGGTATGATGACCTCGAAGACAGTATCATCTTCAATAAGTCAAATACCCATGATTTGACATTTCCTCATCTCGATGCTCTTGTCATTACATTACGTATTTCAGATACTAATGTAAAATAATAATGGTAGACGACAGAAGCGGCGCGTGTATTATTCACCCTCGAGTTCTCACACAAATGCGGCTTGAGGACTAGATAGTACAATGCTGCATACAACTAACATGTTTTAACAATGCAGTCGATCAAACCTCAGGAGAAATAACATTGTCCGTCCTGGCCGGGGGCGTCACCCTAGAAAAAACATTCCATGTCATGAACCAGGACACAACTTACAACGCCATCATAGGACGACCATGGATACATGCCATGAGAGCCGTCCCATCCAGCCTGTATCAAGTAATCAAGTTCCCTACTCCGTGAGGGATATTAAGCATCCGAGGTGAACAATGCACAACCCAAGAATACTATTGCATCATCTAAGATTGCACATATACTCAACAGCTGAAGGGAACAGACTCAGAAGCATAGCAATTACCAAAGTCGGGGTCCGAATTAAACAAACAAAAAGACGTTATCAAGGACCCCGACATCGTAGAAGCCATAGGGTCAACAGTAGAAGACCTCGACCCCATCAAACTAGATAGCAGCGACAATAGTAAAAGGGCTTACATAGGCCATAAACTCTCAGAGCCAGGTAAATTTCATAAGTTCTTAATTAACAACACCGATATGTTTGCTTTTTTCCCACGCAGATATGCCAGGTATCTCGAAAGACGTTGCCACGCACAAGTTGAACGTCAACCCACTCTACCCTCCAGTACGACAAGTGAAAAGAAAATTCTATGTCGCAATCAACGAAGCCGTCAGCGATGAGGTGGATTAACTACTTGCTAATGGCTCCATCTGAGAATCGAAATATCCCCAATGGGTCGCCAACGTAGTTATGGTGAAAAAGAAAAACAAAAAAGTGGCAGATGTGCAAGGATTTCACGAACCTGAACAAGGACTACTCGAAAGACTCTTTTTTGTAGCCTCACATTGACCAACTCATCGATGCAATTGCAGGGCACGAGTTGTTGAGATTTTTGGACGCTTACTCAGGTTACAACCAAATCCACATAGAGGAAGAGGACCAGGAAAAGACTACTTTCATCACCCATCAAGCAGCATATTGTTTCAGTGTCACGCTATTTGGGTTGAAGAACGCAGGGGCGACTTACTAAAGGCTGGTCACCAAGATGTTCAAGGACCAACTCGGCAAAACAATGGAGGTATACATAGACGACATGTTGGTTAAATCAAAAAGGAAGGAAAACCATATCGACTACTTGAAGGAAGCCTTCGGTATACTAAAACAATACAATATGAAGCTAAACCTCGAGAAGTGTGCCTTCGGCGTAACTTCTGGCAAGTTCCTCAATTTTCTGGTATCACAAAGAGGCATCGAGGTCAAACCCAACCAGATCAAAGCCATCGAGGGAATACCTGAAGTATTGACCAGCAAGAAGCAGGTACAAAAACTGATAGGCCGTATAACTACCTTGTCAAGGTTCACCTCGCGGACCTCCGACAGATGCCACAAATTCTTCAACGTTCTCAAAAAAGACAACGGGCTAGTGGAATTCAGAATACATCGGGCCTTAAGAGAACTAAAGGCATACTTGTCCTCGCCCCCGCTACTCGCCAAAGCAGAACCCGGCGAGCACCTCCTGATATACTTGGTCGTATCAGAGGTCGCGGTAAGTGCAATATTGGTTCGTGAAAACAAAGGTACACAATCTTTGATCTATTACATTAGCAAAACCCTGGTCGACACCGAAACGAGGTACCCCACCTCGAAAAATTGGCTTTGGCATTGGTTATAGCTTCACAAAAGTTTAGACCCTATTTTCAATGCCACCCCATATCAGTGATGACAACTTTCCCCCTACGGAGCATCCTACACAAACCTGAAATGTCGGAGAGATAGGCCAAGTGGGCCATAGAATTAAGCGAGCACGATATAACATATCAGCCGTGAACAACTATAAAATCGCAGGTACTCGCCGACTTCGTCGCTGATTTCAGTGCCAAAATAATGCCCGAGGAAGAGCAGGATCTATACACCGATGGCGAGTCCAACACGTCAGGATCTAGATTGGGACTTGTACTCGAGGTCCCAACAGGAAAAGTCATCCACCAATCCATACGGTGCCCCGATATGACTAACAATGAGGCCGAGTATGAGGCCGTAATTGCAGGACTAAAGCTAGCTCTCAAATACAGAGTACGACGAGTCATCCTCAGATGCGACTCACAACTCATTGTCAACCAAGCCACAGGGACTTTCCAAATCAAAGAGTAGAGGCTACGAAAGTACCAGGCAGAAATTCATAAATTTCCACAAGAATTTGACGAATGTCAACTCGACCAGATACCTCAAGCACAAAACATCGAGGAAGATGGCCTCGCCAAGTTAGTAGCGGCCACCAAAAACATTACAAGAGAAAACGTGGTCACCCTCTTCCACACATCAATAGACCAACTTGAGGTACACTCTGTAAATTTGACTTGAGACTGGCGCAATCGTATTATAACATATTTGCAGGAGAGAGTACTCCCATTAGACAATAAGGAAGCCAAAAAGATTTGATTGCAGGTGGCCAGGTACAACATCATAAACCATGACCTATACAAAAGAACGTTTGGAGGCCCTTTGGAAAAATACCTAGGGTCGAACCAAACAAAACGCGTCCTCGAGGAAGTAAACGAAGGCCACTGCTGTGCACATATCGGAAATGGAGCCCTCGTCAGATCCCTCATTCGAGCGGGTTATTATTGGCCCACAATGAAGAAGGAAGTCGCTAACTATGTCAAGAAGTGCGAGTAGTG